ATAGATAGATAGATAGATAGATAGATAGATAGATAGATAGATAGATAGATAGATAGATAGATAGATAGATAGATAGATAGATAGATAGATAGCATGAGATGTGCCGTGGGGGATATATCAGATTTTATTAGGGGCCTGTATAATTCATTTGATGACTGCCCATTTTCGGTTTAGGTAAGCTCTACAGCATGATTAAAAATAGAAAGCCACCAGCATGTCACGGCTGAGCAGCCAGTGTGTTTGTGGAGCAGACCCAAATACAGACACAGGGGAGAAGCACAGCAAGTTTGGCCTTAAGTAAGCATAAACAGATGTCAGAGACCTCTGGAATATCTATAAAGTTGACCATGTGCCTGTGCAGTTGGCTGATTTAATCAGTAATGTGTGGCTTGTGTTTTAATCACATTCTCATGCTTTGGTTTTATGTGAAGGACAAAGTGAATTGTGAATTTGTCAATTTAGAATGTATTGCTCATACTGTAAGTGTCTGAAGAAACCCTTGGGAAATATGCAATATGTAGCTTTGTTTTTGTGTTGCAGTAATAAGAGAAATTTGTGTTTACTTTCTGTAATGCTTATTCTTTGTGAAAGCTCAACAACACTTCTTTTGAAAGGCGATGTAGTATGGGATGACAATCTTACTGACAGTTGTCAAAACAAATTAATGAATTAGAGAGAATTAACTGTATAAACAGAGGCTATATTAGGTATATAACAGTATTATATCAGTGGCATAGCTTTGTGTCCACACTTGAACTGCCTCAAAATTAAACTATAAAATGCTAACTGCAGAGTTCAGTCTGTCTTTTTTATGTACATTTCTCAAAAGTTACTGCAACTGTGGGGTCTTATTTTGAGACTTCTACCTAATGTCCCTATCAAAGTTTGGTAATAACATACATTTGGACCTTTTATTATCAGCCTTTATATACTGCTGTATCTCAAGGAATATTTTTAAAACTGTAAATAGATAGAATTAAGAAGTCAAAATCAGGCATCTTCAGCTTAATTTGAAGATGGCTGATTGAATTTGTGCTAATATGAACCTCGTTTTTTAAAAATATGAATCTAAACATGCCATGACTCATGCTGAAAGCTAGGGAGAACACTAAGAAGAAGTTCTGTCCCCATATGAAAGGACAATGTCCTGTAGCTATAAATCATAAATCATAAATTCTGAAGAAACTACTGTGTTGAACATTGTATTTTCCAATTGAACTTTTACAGAATGCAGAGTAAATGATACTGAATAAATATCATTAAATCATGGTTAAAGAGTTTATTAAATCAGTACATCATAAGTCAATTCAACAGCTAGTTCATATTTTATGAATGCCATCAAAAAGTTTCAGAGGATGTCCATTATTCAACACTTTCGCCCTGGAAGAAAGAAGAAATAAAAAAAAAGACTTATTCAACATATATTAAAAACGTTTGTAGAATTTGTCCCATCTCATTTTATATAGCTGGATTGAAATTTACACAGGGCATAAACATATCTAAACTGTCTTCTACTTTCAATCCACAGTAAATTATTAATGTATGGAACTTCTATCAAACAACTCTATTAAACAAAGTTCAATTTTCTGTAAAACAAATTACATGAATTACCTTTCCAACATCACGGCTCTTGGCTCTCAGTTTGTTGACCTGAGATTCAGCAATGTCAGCATGCTCCTGAGCTTCCTCCATCTGGACCTTTCTCAGTCTGGACATGTGGGTGTTGGCCTGTTCTTCCTGTACAGTGTGACAATATGTTGTTGTTTTTTTTAAATATCTGGCCATATATGCTAAATATATGTCATTTATAAAGTTATGCATTCCATATGTAAAATCACAGAACATTTTACTCACAGCCTCCTCAGCCTGTCTCTTGTAAGCCTTGACTTTGAGCTGCAGCTTGTCCACCAGATCCTGAAGTCTGACCACATTCTTCTTGTCTTCCTCAGTCTGCATAGATAACAAACTGTTATTGACAGCTGAGGAAGAAAGAATTTAGGAACTTAAATTCTCCCAGGACCTATGTTAATGTAGGTTAATTACTTGGTTGTTATTATACGTGTATGATTATTCTGATGATATTGGTTATGTTTAAATCTTTACTTTATCAAAGTTCCTCTGCTTCTTGTCAAGGTTGGCAGCCAGAGCATTAGCTCTCTCCACATCAATCATGAGGTCCTCCACCTCACCCTGCAGCCTCTGCTTGGTCTTCTCCAGTGAGGCACACTTGGAGCTCACAGCCTCAATGGATTCCTCAGCCTCCTGCAGGCGCTGGGCAAGCTTTTTCCTGTTGTTAAAATAATTTTGTTTTGATTAAGTCTGAATTGGTTGGTTTTAAGTCTCAAAACTAATTTAAACAATGAAAGTATGGTGACTTACTTGGCCTCCTCCAGCTCCTCAGTGCGCTGTATAGCATCAGTCTCATATTTGGATTGCCACTGAGCCACCTCACTGTTGGCCTTGGACATTCCTCGCTGCAGCTCAGCCTTGGCCTCCTGCTCCTCCTCAAACTGCTCTCTGAGCAGATCACAGTCATGACGTGCTGACTGAACAGCATGAGCCAGGGCATTCTTGGCCTGTTGAAGTGACAGTTGATTTCAGATTTCGATATTTTATTGTTGAAATCAATTTTAAAGTCTAATGGTGAGAGGATAACAAATTTAAGAGGTAAAACCTTAGAAAGATATTAGAGGATTATCTGTCTCAGAGTTACTAAGTGTCTCTGTAACTGATTAAAACTTCCTCCATGTTGCTGGAGAGGTCATCAATCTCCATCTTGTACTCGCTCTTCTCTTTCTCCAGCTTCTGCTTGACACACTGAAAAGACACAGTCTGGAAGGAACCACCCTTCTTCTTACCACCTTTCTTGCCACCATCAGCAGCCTCTGTTTTCATAAACAGTAATTGTCGTTATTGTCACTATTTTTCACTGCATAGTCTTAGCCTGCAGTATGCACATTATAGTTATTACACAGATACATACTATCTGTACTGGACACGTGAGTTTGTGAGCACTTTTGTTTCTTACCTTCAGCTCCAGCATGGGCTGCGTACAGCTAGCACAGCAGTTTGTTTGAAGACTTCTGGTAGAGCTGAACAACTGAGTCATTCAGTGGGTCCTTGTTCTTGTCCAGCCAGCCAGTGATATTGTAGTCCACTGTACCAGCATAGTGAACCAGGGAGAAGTGTGCCTCAGCCTTGCCCTTTCCAGGCTTTGGCTTCTCAAATGCTTTGGTCTTGCCAAGATGCTGATCGTGCAGCTTGTTCTTGAACATTGTGTCAGAGGCCTTGGGGAACATGCACTCCTCATCAAGGATGGAGAAGATGCCCATTGGCTGAGAAAATGTTACATATCATATTAAAATTTCAACAGAGGTAACATATGCAACCACATGTACATTTCTTCCAGAGCAGCTTTTTACCTTCTCAATAAGCTCAATGCAGGCAGCCAAGTCCATACCAAAGTCAATGAACTCCCATTGAATACCTTCTTTCTTGTACTCCTCTTGCTCCAGGACAAACATGTGATGGTTGAAAAACTGTTGCAGTTTCTCATTGGTGAAGTTGATGCAGAGTTGCTCTAAGCTGTTGAACTGTAACATTACAAACATTTTTAATTTCATGATCATACAGTATTTAACATTTAGCAAATGTGGTGAAATGTCTCAAGTGCTCACATCAAAGATCTCAAACCCAGCGATATCCAGCACTCCAATAAAGAACTGTCTGGGTTGTTTTGTGTCCAGCATCTCATTGATACGGATAACCATCCACAAGAACATTTTCTCATAGATAGATCTGCACAGAGCTGAGACAGCATTGTTGACCTGGCAAACAAGAATTTATAATAATACAAAACCCAAAATACAGCTATAATGTCCAAATCTTTAATATATCATTATTAAAAATGTATTTAAATTACCTGTGGGACACTCTTACCTTTGGTCACCATCTCATTGCCGACTTTGACTCTTTGGTAGCACAAAGCTTTCAGCATATCAGCCGAGTTCAGGCCCATGAGATAGCACAATATCCAATTTAATTGTGCATTTGAAGAAAAGTAACATTTGAAGAAATGTACATTTCTTCAAATGTTACTTCCCTCCAATGTCCTAATCCTCCCAATTATAAACAAAAAAACTTCATAATGACAATTTTACTATTTTGCCAGTTACCCTCAGTGCCATCAGGTTCAGCCTGCTCTTCACACTGCTTCTGCTTGAATTTCATGTTGCCATGATGCATCACAGCACCAGTCAGCTTGTAGATGTTTATTTTCTCATCAGCAGTGAAGCCCAAGATGTCAATTGCAGTCTGAAATTCAAACAAATGAAAGAAACAAATATTATGGAAAACAAAAGAGATTTATGCCCAAATGCAAGAATGCAGATAAACATGAAATGTGATTTTACATCTGTTACAATGAACTCCTCCACATCATTGATGCTCTTGACAGTGACTTCACCCTGACTGATCATTGGATAGTCATAAGGGTTAGTTGTGATCAGAAGAGCCTCTGTAATAAATAAATAAATAAATTAATTAATTAAATTGTCTCATTATATTTTCTTTAATTCTTGGAACCACTGAATGAAAGGCAGAGTCTTCAGCTATCATGCTACTTTCCTGTGGAACCAGTTTCCAGTATAGATTCAGTAGACGGACAACCTCCAATTAAATATTAAGCTGAAAACTTTTAACGCTTTTATTTAAAACAAAGTTGGGGTTGGATCAGGTGACCCATGAACATTCTTTTAGTCACACTATGCTCACAGGGCTGGGAGACTTGCACTAATGTGCTGAGTATATATTTTCCACTCAGATTTTCAGGTTCATATAGCATTACATCGACACAGTTTATCACTAAGCACAAAGTGTACCCTATGGTAACCAGTAATGCGATTTAAATTTGGAGAAGTCGTGAAATGTCACTGGTATACAGTTGCAGGACATAAACATCTCAGGCATCTGTCATCAAATTCAGCATCAGACTTTCTCTTAATGCCAGACAAGTATTGTATATCTCTACTGGGAACAGACTTTAAGAACGATTGGTCAGCTCAGATAACTTATCAGCAGATGAAAAAGTTTTAAGGTCAAAAGTAAATCCAGGAAAGGTTATCTTATGTTTCCTGGATTTTATAAGTCTTCATAATTTTACAATGAGGAACGGCATTGTATCACAGACTGTAGAAAAATTGTTGTTTTGTTTTTTTTCTTGTTATTGGTGAGCCTCTGCCAGACTTTACTTCTGACAAACACCCCCTCTCTGACATGCTGTTTTTGGACTTAATCATGTTACTGACCTGTTGCTAATTAATCTTTTAAGATTTTTAAGATTTTAACCTCTGGAATGTTCCTCCAACTGTTTCTTTCTAATACTATGTTTTGGAAACATGTTGCTGTCATCAGTATTGAATGTTTTTAAATTAATAGTAAAATGTCAAACTTAACATATCAAATCTTAAATGTCCCCCATCCCTGGTGGATAAAACTGTACAGTTATCCCCACTTTAAAATACTTTAAAATATTGTAAGACATATAGATTTTTATCCACTTTCTCTAATCTTTATAACTAAACTTTTAGAATTTGAAACAGTACACAGAAAATAAAATAATAAAATCAGAAATGTTCACTTTCAGTGCACATGATTACTGGTCAGTAGAGATCCGATTGATCCAGATCCTGTTCTTGTCCAATTTTTCATTAAGCCAGGCAGCACTGCTGTTAAAAAATGAAAACTGCCACTCAATACATTAAAGAGCAATGAAAAGGATTAAGAATCTGTAGGGGGGAAAAAGAGTCCTACATACACAAAGTTATGATCGCAAGCTTCTTATTTTAACCTGTTGAATTACAGTTATGTACCCAGGCTGCTGTCTCACATCTCATAGTTAGAAAGCCTTGCTGAAAGGGCTCTCTAGGGAGAAATGTTAAGCACATGACTTGTTTACTTTGCAACTGATGGTGCAGCTGCTGTAATGAGATGATAGAGAGGAGCCACCACACTCTTATGCAAAAAGATTGTTCCTAACCCCATTCAAAAATTAAAACCTATGGTCCATTATGAAATAAAACACGTTACAGAGGAGATTCATTTTCACATACTTATTAATGTCAGTACATAGTCACAGTTGCCTTGTTTTCCCTGATGGATATTTGCACACCATAATCCTCTTGGAATACGCTTATTGATTGGAACCCCCGATTTGGATGTCTAAGTTAATACTTTTGGCAATATGGTCTGTATATATATAAAAATTCCCCACTCGCCCTGCAAGTGTCTTTATCCTTTCAGCTTGGGTCCTCTACCTGAGGTCTGGAAGCTATCAGTATCTTTGCAGCAATATTGTCTTCTGGTAGTGCAATCCCCTCAGCTCTGACTGCTTTTGCTTTCTTTGCCATCCAACCACACTTCTCTAGTGTGAACATTCCAATATTGTTGCTGTAGATCTTAGTGGTGTGGATCAGCAAGACTATGTCGTGTTCACCCCTGGCATACAGCTTAACGTCATCCATGTAGAGGTGGTGGCTAAAATTTGCTCCATTCTGTACTTGTTCTAGTACAGAAGTCTTTTCAATGATAAGGCTGAGGAGGTTTAGGACTATGTAGAACACCAGTGGGGACTGAGTATCTTCTTGGTAAATCCTGCACTTGATGGTGACTTGCACAATTGGCTTGAAGTTGCTTCTATTGTTAATATCCACATATTCCTGATGAAGGCTCTTAGGGTTCTGTTGATCTCATATAGTTCTAAGTATTCCAGGATCCAAGTGTGATCCAAGTCCCACTGGTTAATTACAATTAATTAATTTGAAAAAAATAATGTGTTAAAACAATAACGCATTTAATTGCACTTTGCATTCCAAGCAAAGGGGAACTTTTGCCAATGCAGGATTTCCTGGAATGCCGATTACAGTGGTCCCTCGCTAAATCGCGATTCACTTTTCGCAGCCTCGCTGTTTCGTGGATTTTTTTTGGTGCAATTTTGGTTCATTGTGTTCTGCTTCCTGATTGGCCGTGTCTCCTGTACAGTACAGAATGCGTTCAGCTTGTCAAATTGACATAAATCTTCGCTAGCAGAAGACAACAAACACAACAGTGTCGACGTCAAAGGATTATAAGGCGCATTAAGTGAAACCAAACGGTCAGATAAGTCAAACTTTACTCAACTCATTCTGCCTGCTTCCTCTACTTCCGCACCATTGATTCATTAATGTTGCATTCTCTCGCAGCTGCTGTATTCCCATGTTCTGCACCTGAAAACAGGGTTTGATCAAGGGCTGGGTATTGTCACTGATTTCTAGAGTCAATTCGATCCACAATTCAATTCAGTTTGATTCACTTCGATACAATTTGATTTGAATTGGGGAAATTTTGCGTCAGACAGTCAGAAATATTATAATACTGATCATGTATCAGTACATTTCCATATTTTTACATCTATAAAAAGAAAGCTGACATTTGCGAGACTTTATCAAAGGTGTAAGCATCACAGCAGATGCCTTTGTGTCAAAGTAACTGAAAAACATGAAGGAGATTTTCCCGGCCTCGGATTTTATTAAAATATTCT